TACGGACAAGGTTGATTATTTTGGTATGCTAGTAATAGTATGTTATATTTGCGAGCAATCAGAGTGACATATTCCTATTCGGCTTCGGTCATGAAGTTAGTGAACGTTGTGTTTTCAATTTCTGGAAAATAATTACTCGTGTTGATATTTCTGAATGAACAATGGTTGTTTTTTCATGGGTACTGTTTGAACATTATAACAAGACATTAATTAAACACTTACCTATATATATATTCGAAGAAAACAGTATTCCGATGATCGAGCTTGTGCTTGTGTCGCGTCGTCTGCTCGTCGAGAGGCGCGAAAAACGCAGCGCCCTCTATGAGAAGCTGTCAATTAAGAGTAGCGCCCCTTGGAAATAATTTCCGAAATGCGACCTCACGTTGTAACGACGTTGGGGCAACGTATGAAATCCGACCGGGACACTGCCAACCATTGCCGACGTTGGGCCAACGTCTGAATGCTATCTGGGATGTAACGTACAAGTATGGCCATCACTGTCGAAAACAGCGCTGTAGCACACAGGGACCACTCAGTACGGGGGAATGGGCTTAGGAAAATAGCGCTGTAGCACACAGGGACCACTCAGTACGTGGGAATGGGCTTAGGAAGTTAGCGCTGTAGCACACAGGGACCACTCAGTACGTGGTAATGGGCTTTGGAACTTAGCGCTGTAGCACATGGGGACCACTCAGTACGTGGGAATGGTCTGAGGAAGTTAGCGCTGTAGCACACGGGGACCACTCAGTACGGGGGAATGGGCTTAGGAAAATAGCGCTGTAGCACACAGGGACCACTCAGTACGTGGGAATTGGCTTAAGAAGTTAGCGCTGTAGCACACAGACACCTCTCAGTACGTGGGAATGTTCTTTGGAAGTAAGCGCTGTAGCACACAGGGACCACACAGTTCGTGGGAATTGGCTTTGGAAGTTAGCGCTGTAGCACACAGGGACCACTCAGTTCGTGGGAGTGGGCTTAGGAAGTTAGCGCTGTAGAACACAAGGACCACTCTAAACGTGGGAATGGGCTTTGGAAGTTAGCGCTGTAGCACACAGGGACCACACAGTACGTGGGAGTGGGCTTAGGAAGTTAGCGCTGTAGCACACAGGGACCACTCAGTATGTGGGAATGGAATGGGCTTAGGAAGTTAGCGCTGAAGCACACAGGGACCACTCAGTACATGGGAATGGGGTTTAGAAGTTAGCGCTGTAGCACACAGGGACCACACAGTACGTGGTAATGGGCTTAGGAAGTTAGCGCTGTAGCACATATGGACCACTCAGTACGTGGGAGTGGGCTTAGGAAGTTAGCGCTGTAGCACACAGGGACCACTCAGTTCGTGGGAATGGGCTTAAGAAGTTAGCGCTGTAGCACACAGGGACCACTCAGTACGTGGGAATGGGCTAAAGAAGTTAGCGCTGTAGCACACAGGGACCACTCAGTACGTGGGAATGGGGTTTAGAAGTTAGCGCTGTAGCACACAGGGACCACACAGTACGTGGTAATGGGTTTAGGAAGTTAGCGCTGTAGAACACAAGGACCACTCTATACGTGGGAATGGGCTTTGAAAATAAGCGCTGTAGCACACAGGGACCACTCAGTACGTGGGAGTGGGCTTAGGAAGTTAGCGCTGTAGCACACAGGGACCACTCAGTTCGTGGGAATGGGCTTAAGAAGTTAGCGCTGTAGCACACAGGGACCACACAGTTTGTGGGAATGGGCTTTGGAAGTTAGCGCTGTAGCACACAGGGACAACTCAGTACGTGGGAGTGGGCTTAAGAATTTAGCGCTGTAGCACACAGGGACCACTCAGTGCGGGGGAATGGGTTTTTGAAGTTAGCGCCGTAGCACACAGGGATCACTCAGTACGTGGGAATGTGCTTAGGAAGTGAGCGCTGTAGCACAAGGGGACCACACATTACGTGGGAATGGGCTTAGGATGTTAGCGCTGTAGCACACGGGGACCATTCATTACGTGGGATGGGCTTAGTAAGTTAGCGCTGTAGCACACAGGGATCACTCAGTACGTGGGAATGGGCTTAGGATGTTAGCGCTGTAGCACACGGGGACCACACAGTACGTGGGAATGAGCTTAGGAAGTTAGCGCTGTAGCACACATGGGCCACTCAGTACGGGGGAATGGGCTTAGTAAGTTAGCGTTTTAGCACACGGGGACCAGTCAGTGCGTAGGAATGGGCTTAGGATGTTAGCGCTGTAGCACACGGGGACCACACAGTACGTGGGAATGGGCTGAGGAAGTTAGCTTTTTAGCACACAGGGACCATTCATTACGTGGGAATGGGTTTAGTAAGTTAGCGCTGTAGCACACAGGGATCACTCAGTACGTGGGAATGAGCTTAGGAAGTGAGCGCTGTAGCACAAGGGGACCACACATTACGTGGGAATGGGCTTAGGAAGTTAGCGCTGTAGCACAAGGGGACCACACATTACGTGGGAATGAGCTAAGGAAGTGAGCGCTGTAGCACACAGGGACCACTCAATACGTGGGAATAGTTTTAGGAAGTTAGCGCTGTAGTCCACGTAGACCACTCTGTACGTGGGAATCGGCTTAGGAAGTTAGTGCTGAAGCACACAAGGTAGAAGAGAGAGGATTAGTCAGTTTACTTGGGGAAGGAGTTATTGACCATCTCGTTGAAAGTCGGGCCTGTACGCACTTAGGGATGCAGATTAGGGACAAACATAAGAATGCCGATATCAAGGGAAAACTTCGGACCAAGTACAAATGTAGACGTAAGAATATCTGGTGTTCAGAGCTGAACGCTCGCAACAAAGTAAAATCCACAAATACTAATGCTGTGCCCTTTGTATTATTTTGGCGTTGTTGATTGGACGACACTTATGTGATTGACAAGCTGCAGGGAAAAGATGGTAAATATGTGGACCTCGCTTTCGAAATGCCACGCTTGCCACCCCAGTACCAAGTTGTCCGACTCCCCATTGTTCTCGGTGCCTTAGGCTTGGTACCTTCCACTCTACAGACTGACATTAGGTGAGTTCCCGGGTTTGCTGCCAGGAATACAGCCCTTCTGACAATCGGGGTAATGCAGAAGGCTGCAGTGTTGGGGAGTCTTCACATTCTCCGAAAGATTCTGTGTGGGCATGCCAAGGCAGGACTTCCTGGGAGAAGACCCATTTGCTGTCGGGGCTGTATGTAGATGGGGCAATGACCCTGAGCTGTTGATGAGCCTAACCAGCCTGACTGTGCCGGGATCATCAAAATCCTCTTTGCTGCATTTTGGATTTTAATCTGTACATAATAAAAGCAACAAAACCCTTTCAATATCCAATAGAAAGCTCTGCCTAAAGCAGAGTCGTTTGTACGATTCCGAATATATCATCATTGGCATGTGTTTATGAATCACTATCAAATAGGAATGATACCAGGTGTATCCTGCCCCAGCGGTGGCACCCGTCACAAACACATGCAACGGTAAGTCAATTATTCACCTGAACCAACACGGGAACATATGGAACAAGTCTAAACAGGGAATTGCAGCTGACATCATTTTTGTCACTGATGCGTCAAATTGGGAAATGTCCTCCACATGTCAATCATAAACTTTTTGAAACTTTTCTTGGGGCCTTTAATGGTGTAGCCTTGATCAAACAACTTCTGAGCAAGAGTCGTATGACGCTCTTGGTAATCTTGGTGGTATGAGCATGCTCGATTGTGTCTCATAAGTTGTGAAATGTGAACACCAAAGACTGGAGCTGTATATAAGAAATGACTCCTTGTTTGGGGTTTCTTACCCACTTCGCGAACACCGGAAGGCATCACTGATTTTCAGTTGTCCATTCATGGAACTTCCAAAGGTACGTTGCTTTTTATGCCAAATAGAATCCATTTCGGGGGATAATCGAGACGGATTATATTCTGATGGTGACGTTTGATATTCATTATAAACCTGAAAACCGGTGTGTACACTTTGGGTAAATCAGTTACGCCACGCTGATTTACACAATGTGCACATCGCCTATTATACTTCCCAAAACTCAAAGCATACCGTAGTAACAAGAGACAAGGAGGACTTAATACTTCAGTCCTATCGGTGAACTCGATAGGTAACACATGTACAGACTCTTGATAACATTGATTAGAATTATGAGGGATCCTATCAATTTCATATTAGTCTAAGGAGCAGTGCAGATGTGGTTTATTGTTTGAAAGGGTTAAGACCGGAACTAATATTTGATACGTCAACATGCCCTCCGACCCAGGAAAAATATAATCTGGTTAGGTCATGTACACCATGCACATCATAATCTGTTCAGTTATAGCGCCCAGGATGTCACGTACAAAAATGGCCAGCACACAGGGACTACTTGGGCGACCACTTGGTACGTGCGAATGGGCGTAAGAAGTTTATCGAAATTCCAGGTGTGGTGTCAAACCAGATTGAGCCGCATGGAACATTGGGTATGGGTTACTTGAAGCCACACACTCACTCACACACTCACTCATACAATCAATCACTCATACACTCACTCACTCACACACTCACTCACTCATACACTCAATCACTCATACACCCACTCACTCATACACTCACTCATACACTCACTCATACACTCAATCACTCATACACTCAATCACTCATACACTCAATCATTCATACACTCAATCAAACATACACTCACCCATACACTCAATCACTCATACACTGCCTCACGCACTCAATCACACATACACCCACTCACTCATACACTCACTCATACACCCGTTCACTCATACAATCAATCACTCACACACCCACTCACTCATACACTGACTCATTCACTCATACACTGACTCACTGATACACCCACTCACTTATACACTCACTCACACACTCACTCATACACTCACCCACTCATACACAGTGAACTCGATAGGTAACACATGTGCATACTCTTGATTCAAGTGAAGAAATGTACTTCCTGAAATTAGATCAGTGTTGAACTGACATAGCTGGCATTGTTATCTCGGCAGTCGTCAAACAACCACACGAGGATATCTACGGGGCCGTGGGTATTACGACGGTAAGTGATGTCGTAGTTGTTTAGTCTTGTAGTTTTCACTCTCTGCGTAATACAGTTGATATTGATGCCGTGATTTTCTGAATTGCTGTATGTGGTTACACAACATGTTAATATACAGTTAGCCGTTTAATATGCATGGATACGTTAACTCTATGAATGGCTGTATGTGGTTACATAGCATGTTGATATACAGTGAGCCGGTTTATATGCAGGGAAACGTTAACTCTCATAGTGACTGCATTCGGCTATATTTTGTGTCTGCCGTGCCGTCCTAATGTTAAGGCTCTGATAATAGGAAGGCACAACAAATACATTGGTTTACAGAGTTCTGCTGCGTGTGACCCTCTGCAGTCAACTGTGTACACTACAACCAATTTGGCACAGCGTTGGCCTATTTGGCATTAACCCTGATACATTTTGAGCAGATAAAAAAAGAGTGGGTTGTGTCTTGGAAACGGCAACATATTTTACACAGAAACAAAACACTTTTGCTTTGAGACACATTGACCTCTTTCGTCATTGTTCTTGAGAAGGGGACGGCCTCCTTGGTCTTGTGGTAGAACGTCCGCCCGGAAGAGCAGAAGGTCCGGCCTCGTCATAACAAAAGACGTTTAAATATGGTACTTGTCTGGAGCTCGACATTAAGGGGCTAGAACAAGGTCAGCTCGGAGTCAGTATACTCCGACATGGTATCTCAGTGAGCTAGCACTTTAAATTGGTATTAGTCCGGACTAGTACAAGCACACACACACACACACACACACACACACACACACACACACACACACACACACACACACACACATACAGATAAACGGTAAAGTTACCTGCCATATATAAGTGCAATAACCTTGGACGCGACATAAAACCCCATATCACCTCACCTGTTGAGAAGGATAGAAGGAAAGATTGAGTAATGTTTTGGAAACGGCAACTTTTGAAACACAGAAACAAAACGAATTTGCTTCAAAACACATTGATCTCAGGAAAGGCCTTCCAATAGATTATCAAATGAACTGTTTTTGTTCGCACTGGGATAGACCTACATTCAAAATGTATGATTGTATGTATTCATGTATTAGGCCCACATTTTCTCATGATGCTACATAAACAAATTACGCAAAGTAAAACAGTTTCATTTCTTTAATGGTTAATTCACACACAAATAATACATCAATTATGTATTTCAAAGACGAATAATTCTCAATACCTAACACATGTGTGTGTGTGTGTTGTGTGTGTGTGTGTGTGTGTGTGTGTGTGTGTGTGTGTGTGTGTGTGTGTGTGTGTGTGTGTGTGTGTGTGTGTGTGACGGACTTGTCTTCTGTTGCTGCGGGTGATTCGTCAGGAGATTCTGGGATGTTATGAAGAATAAGATTGTTGATCCTGGATCGATTTTCCATGTTATCCAGCTTTTTCACTTAACAGATCTCCTGTTTTCCTAAGATCAAGATTTTCCTCCGATAATCCAGCCATGTCAGTTTCAAGTTTAGAATATTTTCCAGACAGGTCTCTAAAGTTTTGATTCATTTCCAGCCTCATGTCATTTAGTTCTTTAAACATTTCTACACTAACATCGTCATCCATAGCTGACGGACGTTGACGTTGGTACCAGCTTTTCTGTACGTCACAAGTATCATCAAGAGTGAAGTAAACAAACAAAGCTTCAGGCCGGTTCCAGTTCATCCCGGAACGTGCAGCACGTGCACGTGCATGGCGGCGACTCGTCGTTGTTCCCACTTTACCATGAACCAAATGACAGTTGCACTAAAACAACCGCCTCGAGCTCTGCACATACCCAAGTCACACGTCACTGTGTGGTTCAGCTCTTTACAACATAGAACACTTCTTTCAGTCTTCAACTTCATCGGTAAACATTTTCCCTGTTTACCGGAGCTCTCTGAAAAAAACACCCTGTCCCACTACCCGCTACGTGGCGCCCCGCTGTAAATAGAATGACACAGTTAATTTTCAATGTATCTAAGTGATTCGGAATCTCTTTGTCAGTAGTTTCACTATGGCGACCATGGTTCGAGTTGCCTTATGCGTATTGTGTTGATGCCACTTGCGTGCATAACTGCATAATTGTACCCAGTTTCCAACATGTTTCAGGTTGAGCATCCATGATGTGGGATTCAGCACGTGGGCCGATAGCTGTAGTAGTTTGTGTCTTCCTCATTTCTCAGTCGTCATGTGGTGAGTTCCCCCACATTATTAAGAGATTAATGATCGCCTTATGGTTACGACCCAATATCTGCCAAACCTTCCTTTAACTGCAAACTCTGATTTAAAGCATATCAAGTATGTTCCGTGTTTTAACAGATTACCTTGATCTAAGCGGTGGAATGACGGGCAACAATTCCTTCACCTTATGCTGTACAAAGACAGGTGGTTGGGGCGTAACGGGTCTGTATTCAGTCTTTTGGTACAGAAATGGTACGCTTGTATTCAAAACACGCAGGGTATTCGGTACACAGATAGTTGACAGTTCATTTCAAAACTTGGTTAAACCACGTCTGTGGTGGAGAAAGCACTGTGTGGACGTTTCTAAAGTGGAAGCGGGCATGTCTGAGTGGAGATGCAACAACGACAATGACAAAAGCACTTGGAGTAGAAAATCAATTAAACTGTCCGGTGAGTTTACTACTACTACTACTACTACTACTACTACTACTTCTTCTCCTACGTCTTCTTCTATTACTACTGCCACTACTACTACTACTACTACTACTACTACTACTACTTGTATTTTCTCCACAATTTAAGAATTCAGTGCAGATGAAGACACGTACAGCTCTATTACTTTGAAATGATTAAAATTGAATTCCTATATTTTTTAAAAGAAAATAAGTTAAATGTGTAATCTAAATGTCATGATTAAATCTAACACCAATTGCACTACTACATATCCTATCACGATAGTTGTGCTCACAAACCTTCTTTTTCATACGATGAGTTGTCTTTATCTTCGTAATTAAAAAACTATGTTTTTATTAAAAAAGAAGCATCTTAACCTCATTATTCATTGCATTGAAGGCATGCTTCTAATCGTCTTCATAAAGGTCCAACGGCCTTTGCCATTTGGTTTTGAAGATAAATAGTTTCACAACGTACTCAATTTGATAGTGAACAAGAGATGATTGACAGATTGACTATGGAAATAGGTCGAGCGTCCTGAAGAGCTAAATGTGTGACATACTATTTACATATAATTATTGTATATGTAAATGCTAAGTAAGTTCAGAGTTCGATTGATTCCAGGAAAGCATTTCCCTCTATCTCTTTTCCATAAACGAACGTTTTAAGGCAACCAGGTACCCAGATTCCAGCGATTTTCACTGTACTACAGTGTTGGTATTAGATATTATCATATATTTCTTATGTTTCTTATTGTGTTATATGTAAATGTATAAATAGTTGCATACACAAACTTTTATTGTTATATATATATTTACGTTTACACCTTATAGCTTCCATGACTACGAATCAACTGATCGTAGGTGACGGCTAGTTTGTCCGGCGTCTGACGTGGCCCTGTAGAGATTTTCTTCTCAGAAGACCCATATGCTTGTTTCCACCATTAATGACATCTCAATCTTTTCAAGGCGTTCGAACATGATTTTTGACATTTACATTAAAAAAAGACGTTCAAGGTTTTATGAAATGTTTGTAAGTATTGGGGATATGCTCTACAAAATTTCAAAATACTTTTGCTCTGTAAATATATTCTTCTCACTCAATGTTAGACTGAGGAATCTTAAATTTGTCTTCTATGGTTCTTCTTTTGCCAGTATCATGTTTAATTTGTTCAAATTCTTAGTACTTAACATTTTGTAAGGCTAGACAGATTTGAATGACTTTGAATTGAATAAACAACCGAATTCATCTGCGTGTTAGACAACTTATTTTCAAGCACTATAACTTCAGTAACGTGACAACAGAACGTTGCATACATTGAAATCATCTGAAGAACTCTCACTTCAGGCACCAAAATCTCACATCAAATGTCATTAGTCTGTATACAACGCCTGTAAAATAGAGTAGTTTCCCTTACATCAGTGGTTGTGCTGAAACACACATAATCTTGCGTAGGTCTCGATTGTTTCAGACATCGACTTAGACAATAAAATGCGGAAGGTTCGAACCTTGTAAAGCTTAATTTTGGAACCAGTGGTCGACCGATTATATAAAAGTGATATAAAAAATGTATACTTTCAATGAGCTATAGTCCATCCGTTGAAGCCTGCTAAATGCGCTACCTTCATTATTACCCTGGTCAATGGATCAGAGTGCACTCTACTTTCTCAGCTCCCTAGGGTAAATACAACCGGATGTCCTGTCATGCGCTAAGTTAAAAGTCACATTACCCGTCTCATTCTTCCCTTCTTCCCTGTACCCACTCACTGCTGAGTGAACAGAGCGATATTTCGAACAAAGTCACATGCCTCATGCTACATGTGCTTAAAGTAGGGACAGGACCGAACCCTTAGAAAATCTCAGGAGTGAAGCTGCCGAAACACGGTCATTCTCCGCGTCCAACCATGATTACCCTTACCTGATACGTGATCTGCGCGATTTGCACCGGATCACGTGCCTCCATTAGATTTATCTAGTTAATTGTGGGGCACGAGTGGGCCAGTCGTCTAAGCGCCTCAATCTGCTGTGCGGAGTCGCGTCCCTTTGGCGTTCCAAAAATCTTTGAGAATGGCTTCGAATCCCGGTCCGCTCCAATTACGTTTCTAGGTTTGTCAGCTCCATACTCATTCTCGTGGGTTTCACCAAGTGGTAAAACTTCTGAAACCTGCATCACATTGGGCTTCATTCCTAATTAAGCTGACATGCCGTGATATAACGGCAATACTGTTCGACGGCATTAAACAAAACTCACTCACTCTAGTTTAAAGCCCCAACATCCGATCAGCCTAATCGGGGTGCATGCGCAGTAAATATTTTACGTATAAGGAAAATGGGCGGAGCTTACCATTTATAGTAACCCACATGTCTCAATCTAAAATACATGCGGTAATCGACGACACGTGAACACCAATATGCACATCATCGTAGGTAACAAATTAACGTTGTTAATCTATTAAAATCATTTTTAAAAATTTCCCTACGTTTACTCGAGGAAAATGGCGACATAGTCCTTCCAAATCTGATCCCACATGTTGTAAGTTTTCCGTTTGAGGACTTTGGTCTCGGCCTGGCGTCTTGAGTTTCTAGCATCCATGACATATCTTGATGATGTTGTTGGTCTATTTACGTGTTCATTCCAGTCAAATACTGCCATATTCGTCCGAAAACGATAAACATCGTCAGAAAAATTAATTCTTTTGTTATGATATTGTAGCATTGTATACAATGAACATAGTCGTCGGTATCTTTATACACAAGAGTATTTTTCAAAGCTTGACACAGAAGTAGCTCAGCCTTTGGGTCACAAATCAGTGCTTTGGATGATTCATAGTGCGCGTCTTGTCTACATCTCGACGTTTCTGAACAGTTATTATGGATATCCTTGTAATGATTGACCACATTCATAATATTATCGCGGAGCTTGTTGGCATCTTGATCGCAGTTCCTAATGCACCAAAAAAAATGAGTCTTGATACTTCCTGCTTTGTCCGATAACTAGCGATGCCACGTCACACCCTCTTTGTATTTAGGACCCAAACACACACATTTAACCTCCTTTGTAACCTTTTTCGTAGCATGCCATGTGTCATTTGTTGACGTTGTATCAGGGCACTACTCCCTAATAAATTTATTGATGACCGGATTCCTGTCATGACAATGTAATTTGACATGTACTCCGAAACCATTGTCAACACTATCAAGATATTCATAGATACGCTGAGTTCCAATAAGTTCGTGTTTTTGTGTGCAGGCATTGTCTACTTTTGATACAGTTTCCGTCCTGATAACTTTGTGAGTGTTAGCTCCAATGCAAACAACATCAGTAAAACGAGAGTTTTTCCATGTGGCATGGCGAGCGTCAGTGAGAATATTAATTCCATCCATATTCGTGTAGGTCACAATTTCTTCTAAAAGTGCATCCTCGCATGATTCACGACTTAAATCACAAACGACTTCTTTATAGTTTGAAAACATGTCAGATATGTAAGCTGAACCAAGTCTTCCAATGTCAGCTGCTTTCGCAAATCTGACACAAGGTATCCATGACACATGCGAGAGTTTACCAAATATTTGTTACCAAGATAGGGTGAACTGGGCCATATTATCACATGATCTTTTTCACATCTGAAAGTAACATAGGCAACCTGTCCAATCATTTTCATGTCCAATTTCTGAGCAGGAAACGAGCATGACAAACTGTGTGAATAAAGTCGATCACAGAGCTTTTCAAGGTGCATTTTCAGAGGCACAAAACTTCTTTTGATTGCATTCATCCGTATTTTCACACTTGCAGAATGAAAAATCACGCGTAAAAGATTCGTCAGTTATATTCCCATCGTTTGCATCATCTGTTAAAATACGAGAAAGTATTATCGAGAAGTTGTATGTTTGTCACAAGATTAGGGTTCCCTTCTCCAAGAAAAGTTTTGATTTTCTTCGCTTGTTCATAAACAATATCAATCTTGTCTCTGTTTTCAGCTGAAAAGTTAATTTTTCCTTGTGGCGAAGCTTTTCCCTCCGAATTTCTTCGTTTCACAGCTTCTGGATTGTCTTTTGAATATTTTCTCTTAATCCCGTTACTATCGCTTAACATTCTAGCAATACCTGCCATTTTTAACAATATTCGTCACTCTAGATCTACAGATCGGTTGTATAAAATCAGCAGACAACAAATAGAGAAAAGCGGGAAATTGGGCATGGCTTATGTAACCCATAGGGGTGTGACAGGTGACTTTCGCTTTTGAGTTTAACTTTGAGGCTTTTTCGAGAACCTAACTGGAGTTGCATATATTATTTCGTTTCCCACAAGTTTTTTTTATATAATACAAAATTAGTCGGTTTTGATTGTTTGAATGCAATGAATGTCATTAACCCTCCAGACCAACACAACCCATCCAACCCGTCGTGTATTAGACTACCCACCAACGCTTGGGTCACGCGACATATGATACAGCTGACCAAAACAACGCGCTACCATTATTTTGAGGGTTGTAGAGGTTGCTTTCCATAAGTTGAAATTTTGATTTATGACGACTAGCCATGCCTAAATATGCTTATTTGTAATGTGAAATGATACTAATTCACGGTAAATAATAAAACGTTCCTTAAATCGCTACAAATCGTATATTCATCAAACTTTTTCATGAGGTGTAATATATCTTTCATATAATGAGCTCTTCCAAATTCTATCGGTTTCTAATGGGTGTCACAACCAAGAAAATTTTGACAGGTCGCTTTCACGTTCGTTCACTGCTCATAAAGTTCAACGCTTTCATGATGTCATCCAAGTTCACTATTACACTAAATGTTGATGAAATGCAACAAGAAGCCATTCGAAGTTTATTCAATTACTCGGGATGGGATTACGATGCCGCAGTGCAGGACGTTTCGTCGTGTGATGCCAGTGTTCAGACGCGGGAAAGTGATGCAACGTTTGACGAAGCCATGGAAGACAAGTTAAGTGATGCAAGTGTAGATGTCACTCGTGAAGAAGATTCGTCAGAGAAACCCCCTACTTTTATTGATGCTAAGGATGGAGTGAACGTTTTAGATTGTGATCTGAATGTCAATATCGACGATCGTTTCCAGGAAATTCAGGAATGTGAATTTTGTTTTTGCCGGCCGTGTGAGACAACATTTCCTCAAAGATGGCTTGGCCGAGGCTCCGCCCCTCACGACAGAAATAGTGGGGTTCGCAGGACTATTTAACAAGAACTGTTGGTCGATGTTGGATAGACGAAATGCACGGAGGAATCCAAGGTATCTTTCCAAGAAGACAAGACTGTTGAATCGTGACCATTTGGACGAAACTGTTGTTTGTGTGCGCCGGGAAATTATGCCCCATTGTGTTTTGAACCATGCTCGTGGATTATATCCAAACATTCCTAAGCGGGATTATATGGGACAAAGGTTGTGGTAGTCCTCAAAACTCTTTCCCAGCACTGTTGGACGATGTTGGACAGAAGGAATGCTTTGAGGAATCATCGAGGGATCTTTTCAAGACTGTTGACTCGTGACTGTACGAAACTGTTGATGATAATTCGGACCAGTGTGCGCCGTTAAATTATGCCTGATTGTGTTTTTAATCATGCATGTGCTCGTGGATTCAAATACATTGTATATTCTGAATATGGATTATATGGAACATACGTGGTGATAAATATGCTAGATAAGTTGAAAGGTAAGACGTCTCCTGAAGTAAACATCGACTATTCATAACCTGCATATTTCTATAAACAAGCACTGTCTACACATTTCAAATTGATCATCTGATTTGTAGAAATCGAATCAAGAATTACTTCATATTTTGTATATGTGTAAACTGTTATATATACATGTCCACCAAAGATGATAGGTGATAGATTTTTGTATCAACTACATATTGTCGGCATTATGACTTTTATTTATTTTGTATAAGTTATTTTGCATAGTCGCTTTTACAATGTTTTCGCCAAATGCGGTGCCGTTTTCGCCAGTGAAATCGGTGACGTTTTGCTGAGGTGCCGTTTTAGCCTGCACCCTTTACAATGACTAGACCTGTCGTGTTTGTCCTTTTCGCGCATAAATGTGAAAGAAATATAAGCAAACTGTAATAAGGTTTCAGTAGCTACATCTAGATATATTTTATTTGGAATTCCCGTGTCAA